TGATAATTTTGCTCCAAATGTTTTATTTTGAAACTATCAAACAGGTACAGAAAAGTTGAAAGGTACAATACCTGTAGCCTCCATCTGGACTTATCAACCTTTGCTACGTTTGCTTTGTACCATACATACTGAAAAACATTTTTTTGAAAGTGGTAAACATCAAAACACTTCATTCCAAATACTTCAATATTCATCCTTTCATAATATTATCCAAACACCATCATTACAGGTAAGAAAACTAGTAATTTCCCAATACCAACTAATATAGTTATTCAAATTTTCCCAACTGTCCTAAAATACATATTTCATAATTTTGTTTTTCCAAATCAGTTTCCCACACTGCATCACACTCCTTAGTCTTTGTTTTTACTTTTTATTTTGAATTTAAAGATTCACAGGAAGTTGCAAAGATACTAGCCTCCCCAAACAGGTATATCTGACATAATTATATAAAACTCAGAAAATCAAGATTGGTACAATGTGTGTGTATAATTCTGTCATTTTATCACAATATGTATAGATTTGTATAATCAACACAATCAAGATACACACAGCTGTTCCAACACTTCAATTTCCCTCCCTCTCCCCTGCTCCCTCCCACCATTCCCAACTTCTGGCAACCACTAATCTGTTTTTCACTTACGTAGCTTTGTCATTGTAGAAAATTATGTAAATAGAATTATACTTTTTTATCTTTTGAGATTGGATTTTTCACTCAGCATAATTCACTTAAAATTCACTTGAGTCATTGCAGGTATCAATAGATTACTCCATTTTATTGCAGAGTAATAATTATTTCATCATATAGATATACCAATTTGTTTAACCACCTACTGAAGGACATTTGGGTTACTTACAAATTTTGATTATGAAAAAAACTGCTATGAACAGTCATGTACAAGTCTTCACCTGAACGTTAGATTTCACTTCTCTGGGATAAATGCTCAAAAGAGCAATACAGGGAAGAAACTGCCAAACTATTTTCCAGAGTGGCTGTGCCATTTAACATTCCTGGCAAATGAGATCCATTTTCTCCACACCCTTGCCAGCATTTGATGTGAACACCATTTATCTGTTTCCAAAGCTATTCTGTGCAGTTATTTTTAAAAATATATATATATTTCTTTATTGATTTCAGAGAGGAAGGGAGAAGGAGATAGAAACATCAATGATGAGAGAGAATCATCGATCAGCTGCCTCCTGCACACCCCACACTGGGGATGGAGCCCGAAACCCAGGCACGTGCCCTTGGCTGGAATCGAACGCGGGCCCCTTCAGTCCGCAGGCCGACGCTCTATCCACTGTGCCAAGCCGGTCAGGGCTGTGCAGTTATTTTTAACTTGAATTTCCCTAATGACTAATAATGTCAAACAACTTTTCATTTGCTTATTTGCCATCCATACTTTGGTGAAATGTATGACTTTTGCTCATTTTCAAATTAAATCTATTTACTGAGTTTGGAGAATTCTTTATATAGTCTAACTACAAATCCTGTATGGATGTAGGATTTGTAAATATTTCATCCTCTTAAGAGACTTTTACTATATTTTACTTTTTAAATTGATTTCAGAGAGGGAGAGGGTGTCAGAAACATCAATGATGAATCATTGATCTGCTGCCTCCCGCACACCCTGGGCCATCTGCCCTGACCTGGAATCAAACCATGACCTCCTGGTTCATAGGCAGATGCTCAACCACTGAGCCACGCCACCCTGGGCCTCTCAAGAGTCTTTTAAAGAGCAAATAATTTTTTCCTCTTATGGAGCATGTTTTTTATAAAAATCTAAGAATACTTTGCTTAGTTTCCAATTATTCATTTATTTAGCCTATGGACATCCAATTGTTCCAGCAGCATTTGCTGAAAAGTCCCTCCTCTGCTGAATTCCTTTTGTATCTTTGTCAAAAATCAATTGGGCATTTGTGTGAGTCTATTCCTGCCTTAGCATCTTATTGCTCTTTAGTATCTTTTTAAAAAACATGTATTTTTATTGATTTTAGAGAGGGAGAGGGAAATAGAAACATCAATGATGAGAATCATTGATCAGCTGCCTCTTGCACACACCCACACTGGGGATCAAGCCTACGACCAGGACGTGCGCCCTGACCAGGAATCGAACCGTGACCTCCTGCTTCATAGGTTGAAGCTCAACCACTGAGCCACGCTTGCTGAATGATCTTTAGTATCTTTTAAACACAACTTCCTAATTCACATTTTATACTTTTTACTGTTAAATTTCATACATACTGTATATAAAAGCAGAGAACAGTACAATGAACTCTCAATACTCATCCAGCTTCAAAGATTATCACCTCTCCCCTTTTCATCATTGTCATTTTGAAGAATACAGTGCAGTTTTCTTGTACAATATCCCACATCTGAATTTGTTTCTCCTGATGTCATTTATCTTGTTCTTCTGCTTCCTGTAGGTCCTGTAAACTGGCAATCTGGTCCAAGAAGCTTGATGAATTCAGGTTATACTTTTAGCTTATTGCATCCCTATGAGGAGGCACATTATATGGGTTGTTTCAGCCTTAATAATGTTGCATTTTAATTGGTTAAGAGGTAAATGCTAGTTTTCTCCATTCTTAAAGAACATTTACCTTTGTAATTATTACATAATCCGGGGTGATTCTTCTGCAGCATGGATATAAAACAATTTCATATTCATTACCTTGTAATAACTTCATGAGGTATTCTTCCTCCTGCTTAACAGATGAGGAAATCAAAGTTCCAAGAAATGAAGGCATTTGTCCAAGTTGAAGAATCTAACTCATAACCAGGTCTTAAGATTTTTAACCTTGGGCCCATTCCAGTATTCACTTTTGGGTACCTTCATTCTAATGAGGAAACAGCCCTCAAGGAACTTTGGAGTTGAATTAATAATTATTATAATCAACATACCACTTCAATACTACTGGTAATTAGGAAACACAATCCTGATAGTAATAGTCCAGCTGCAGAATTAGAGTCTTGAGAATGACAACATAAAATTATCAACTCAAAGATACAGGTTGAATTAAATTTACAAATGTACAAAAGGGAAAACTGAATGAATGGTTGCTTTACAGGGAATAATGGGCCTAACGGCTCAGAAATGTATTCTGAATTGGTTTAATTAGAGCTTGAAGGGCTTGTTTCGTAAGTAAAAAGCTATCTCATGTCAACAATGATAAATTGAGGGCAATGCCAGGGATAATCAGCTCACGGGTTGGGGTTAAGGACTTTTCCCTATGAACAAGGTAAGCAACATAGGACTGCCCTTCCATTCTGATACTCTACATACACTAGGTTTCAAATTTGAAGGTTGAAAAGAAATTGTTTGCATTGGTATCAGTGTTAATGGGTGGATATATTATTTTCCCACAATAATTCAGTATTATTATGTAAAAACAAACTAGGGCAGTGGTTCTCAACCTTCCTAATGCCGCGACCCTTTAATACAGTTCCTCATGTTGTGGTGACCCCCAACCATAAAATTATTTTTGTTGCTACTTCATAACTGTAATTTTGCTACTGTTATGAATCGTAATGTAAATATCTGATATGCAGGATATATTTTCAGGGGTCACGACCCACAGGTTGAGACCGCTGAACTAGGGTCTACTAACTCCCTTAAACATTTAAAAAAAATCATTTTCCAGTTGTTCAAGCAAACAACCTAAAATTCTTTTTTTTTAAATTGATTTTAGAGAGAGAAGGAGGGAGGAAGAGAAACATTGCCTGGTTGCCTCCCATATGTACCCCGACTGGGGATCAAACCTGTAGTCTAGGTATGTGCACTGACCAGGAATTGAAATGGCAATCTTTTGGTGTATGGGATGCCACTCTAACCAACTGAGCCACCAGCCAGGGTTCCCTTAAACATTTTTTGTGGGAGGAGTTAATCCTTACCTGAGGATATTTTTCCATTGATGTTTTTTTAGGGAGAGTGGAAGAGAAAGGGAAATACAGAGAGAAACATCAATGTGAAACAAACAGACTGGTTGCCTCCTGCACAAGCCTTGACCAGGGCCCAGGCGGGGAGGAGCCTGCAACCAAGGTACGTGCCCTTGACCAGAATAGAACCTGGGACCCTTTGGTCTGCAGGCCGAAGCTCTATCCACTGAGCCAAACCTGCTAGGGCCCTTTAAATATTTTTAAAGGTGTATTTTTTACGTCTTCTTAGAGAGCTAAATTCCAGTTAGCTATCTACCACATTTCATCTTATTATAAAAATGAATGCCTTTCGAAGTTCACAGAGTCTGAATATTAATTAATGAGCAAACATTACATTATGCCGTGTTCTAGACTGTGACTATAACCCTTTTATCCAACTTTACTGACAACTAAATTACTTCACGAAGTACTTTCACAAAGATTCTTTCACTTAACCCTCTTAACAATCCTGTGAGGTAGGCATTATGTTAATATTTGACTGACAGAGAAACTGAGGCTTACATGCTGACTTACACATTGGTAGTAAGAGAAAGGGCCAGGACCTAAACCTAGGTCTTCTGATTCCAAATCCAGTGCTCTTCTTATATTATCCTCAAACAGCAGGCTCTTGCTCACCCAACTCCATGTCTAACATGTCTCAATCATATTGTCCATACAGACTTTCTGCAGCAGTGATTCTATCTTTAAAATGTATAATATACACATTTTCCGAAACTTCCACTTTTTAATACAAAGATATTTTTGCTACCGCTTATAACATCATTACATCCCATAAGACATAAATCCAATTTCTTCAGAGTCCTCAATTGCTCCAACGTCTCTTACTGGGTCATAACGAATGGTCTGGAACAGAGTACAGTGGGGCCTTGACTTATGAGTTTAATTCGTTCCGTGACCGATCTCGTAACTCAAATTACTCGTATGTCAAATCATTAAAGTGAACGAGTGAGACACGTGATGCTGGGCTGATGTTGTGGCGTTCACTGTGACATTCGCTGCGCCAACTAGCGGTGGGGTATCTGAAGCTGGCTCGTAACCCGAATTTTAGCTCACAACTCAAAGCAAAAAATCGGCCGAGAGACTGCTCGTAACTGGAAAAACTCGTTAGTCGGGACACTCGTAAGTCAAGGCCCCACTGGATACTTTAACTAGAATTTGGTTTGATTTTCTATTCTTGAAAATCTACAATAACCTTCTTTCACATGCAACTCACTTGAATATAATAGAGGCAATCACAAATTCTTTTAAGAACCATATATTGCCATTTCTCCAACAGTTACTTAAATAGGCAGGAATTCTATTCCATTTTACATATGACACTACATTTTCTGAATCTCTAACTTGGACTCAGCTCATTGGCATTTTGAAGCCAAGAGAATTCTTCCATGGTATGGATTTTTTGTTGAAGATAAAGGTTTGAAGTTTGAGAGAATTCTTTGTCAGACTCATCACATTCACAGAGGTTTTCAACTGTATGAACTTTCTGATGCACAGAAAGGTTTTTTCGTTGCCTAAAAACTTTGTTACAATCATTACACCCATATGGTTTCTCCCCTGTGTGGATTCTCTGGTGGCCAACTAAATTCCTCTTAGAAGTAAAAGATTTTCTACACTTCTCACACTCATATGGTTTTTCCCCAGTGTGCATTCTCTGATGTACAACAAGGTTTTTATTCTGACTGAAGTCTTTTCCACACTCATTACATTTATAAGGTTTCTCTCCAGTGTGGATTCTCTGATGGACCATAAGATTTCTACTAGAGGTGAGGACTTTTCTGCATATATGACATTCGTAGGTTTTTTCCCCACTGTGAATTCTTTGATGTTCAATAAGGTTTCTGTTGTAAGTAAAGCCTTTCCCACACTCATTGCATGCATAGGGTTTCTCACCAGTGTGGATCCTTTGATGGGCTATAAGGTTTGAGCGGTAACTAAAGACTTTCCCACAGTCACTGCATTTATAAGATTTTTCCCTTGTGTGAATCCTCTGATGTCCAATGAGGCTTTTCTTCAGAATGAAGCATTTGCCACACTCATTACACTCATAGGGTTTCTCACCACTATGGATTCTCTTATGTTCAATGAGATTTCTGTTAGAACTGAAAGCTCTTCCACACTCACGACATTCAAAGGGTTTTTCCCCAGTGTGGATTCTCCGATGTACCAACAGGCTTGAATTGTAACTGAAAGCCTTCCCACAATCCTCACATTTGTAGGCTTTTTCCTGTGTATGAAGTTTCTGATGGACCATGAAACTCTTGCTCATAATGAAGGTTTTCCCACACTCTCGACATTCATAGGGCTTCTCCCCACTGTGGAGTCTCTCGTGGTCAATCAGGTTTCTGTTAGAACCAAAGACCTTGCCACAATCTTTACATTCATAGAGATTCTCTCCAGTGTGAAACCTCTGATGTAAAATGAGGCTTTTCTTTAGAATGAAAACTTTCCCACATTCATTACATTCATAGGGCTTCTCCCCATTGTGGAGTCTCTGGTGGTCAAAAAGGTAAGCACTCTGAGTGAAGGCTTTCCCACAGTCAGTACATTTATAAGGCTTCTCTCTGCTATGCATCCTCTTATGGTCAATGAGGTTTGACTTAGAATTGAAAACCTTTCCACATTTTTTACAACCAAAGGTCTTCTTTTCTGTGTGTACTCTCTGGTGTAAAAGGAGGCTTTTGCTTCGAATGAAAACTTTTCCACATTCTTTACATTTGTATGGGTTCTCTGCACTGTGCAGTCGCTGGTGGTCAACAAGGTAAGTGGTTTGAGCAAATGTTTTCCCACATTCATCACATTTATAGGGTTTTTCCCCAGAGTGGATTCTCTGGTGCAGAATGAGGCTCTTCTTCAGGATGAAAGCTTTCTGACACTTGTTACATTTGTAAGGTTCTTCCCCTTTGTGGAGCCTCTGGTGGTCAATGAGGTAAGCATTCTGAGAGAAAACTTTTCCACATTCATTACATTTATAAGGTCTCTCCCCAGAGTGGCGCCTCAGGTGTATAATAAGGCCCGAGTGCCTATAGAAGCCCTTTCCACACTCCTTACATTTATAAGGTTTCTCCCCAGTGTGGATTCTTTGATGATTTAGAAGGTAAGCACTTTGAGAGAAGGCTTTCCCGCATTCATTACACTTATAAGGTTTCTCCCCAGAATGGTTCCGTAAATGCATTAAAAGGCTTGAACGCTGAATAAAGCCTTTTCCACACTCCTTACATTTATGAGGTTTCTCACCCGTGTGGATTCTCCGGTGGTTTATAAGATGGGAGATTTTACTGAAATGTTTACAACACATGTCACATTTATAAAACTTCTTTCCTTCAGTACCCATTAAACTTTCAGAAAGAGCTGAATCTAAAGTCAAGCTTTCTCCAAATTCCTTCCACTTCCGGCCTCGTTTTTCTGGTGGAGTCCTTTTCTTCTTGTCTCGCTCATAGAGAGAACATTTCTTCGATGTATCTCTTTCACTTGATTCATTTCCCCACTGACTTGCCGAAACTTGCCATGCACACTCTTTCTCAAAATCAAGGACCTGGGGAATACCTCCTGAAAGTCTTTTTGATGTTCCTTTCTGAGAATCTGCTCTTTGAGATATGCTTGACTTTGCTGTTACCTCCTCATTCTCAGTCATGGTCTCCCATTCTGGTAAAAAGAATAAAAGTGTCTGTATTAGTGAGAACAAATCTTCAAATGACTTTAACAAGCTAGAAGGATACACGTTTATATGCATACAAAAAGGAGAAACTTTTCATTAAACGCAGGTTAAAAGCAGAATGCTATATTGACAGATTGTTGTAAATGGATTAACAGAACTCACTCTGAGATGCATCTAATGCTTTGTCTTCAGGGAGCAGCTAAAAAAAATATATTAATGTTGAAAACACAGATGCAAGGAAGAATGAGAGAGAACATGCTATTTTATATAGGTGGTTCAGACTTGAGGAACAGGAAGTTGGATGGAAAAAGAAGAATCATTTGGCTTATAAAAAACTGTCTTTTTAGTTTCTTCTTGCTAGGAAGATGGGAACTCTAAAAATAAAAAAATAAAAAAGGAAAAGAAAATATACCTAAGGATGATGAAAGGCAATCTTAAAATTTGGTAGCTGGTTT